CCTCCCACTTCCTCTCTCTCTGAAATCAATAAAAACTTAAAAAAATTTTTTTTTTAAAGCAGTGGGTTGAGGCACTTTCCCTTTTGGGGAAATGTAACCATAATTATGAACATTGTTTGCCGACCATAACGTGTCACCCAGGTGGGCCATTAGGATTTATTGTTACGTTTTGAAGTCATAAGTACTGTGTTTCTCAGGTTACACTTCCCTCTAACAATGGTTCATTGTTTTCCCGGCTTTTCTTCGTGTTTTGTAGCTGCCTTTTTATTTGATGACCTTCTAGCCAAATTATCCTAAATTTCCTCACTTAGCCTTTCACTCAGTGAATGTCTGTTCGTGCGTGGAGGTGACAGGGACTTGGCTCCTCACAGGGTGAAGCAGGAGAAAGAGCAGCTGATTCCACCCATGTTTCTGTGACCCAGGCCCGTGATGGGTGGGAGGACTGGGAGCGCCCCAGGGCAGGTCGCTGTGCTGGGACGGGGAGCCCTCCTCTTCAGGTGCATGAGGGTCTCCTGGGGCCTGCTGGTAGTAACCCAGACTGCTACCCCGAGAGCCTGATGATTGTATTTAGGGAGAGGTCAAAGAATGTGCACTAGGTCAGGTGTTCACAAAGACAGAGACTTTATGTGTTTGGGAGGATTGTAGCATTTAGTCCCCTGGCCTCGCAGCATAATCATTTCTAAAACACCTATAATGAATAACATTTTCTAGTTCACATGTGGCTACAGAGTGTCAGGGTTACTCTCTACTCAGCTCTAGCAGTGTCCTCGCCCAACACGCCCTCTCTCCTCAGCGCAGACAACCAGGTCCTCCCCGAGCAGCCGACTTGGCCGCCTCACTGGGGCAGCTGTTTCCGCAGTGCTCTTTTCCTAGGTTTTTGGCATCAGTTTCCCTGGGCTTTGCTTTTTTAACCCAGCCACAGCGCTGGCGAGGTCAGGGGGACAGTCACAGTTCCCCGGCGCCTGAACCCAGGCCTTTGTCCTTTTGTTCCTGGATGGGAGAGCTGCAGTGGGCTTGCCTGCCGATGGCCATCCTCCTGGGCTCAGCCGGGCCTGGCTCTGCATCCGCAGCACAAGGAAGGCACTGTCAAGCCTCCCATGAGGTGCTGCAGTGAGTTAGAGTTTTTCTGGGCTGTTGCTCAGGTATTTTGCCCTGAGCAAGATGATATCACTGGCTGGATAAAAAAATGGCAGAAGCACAGTTTTCTCCACAGAGCTGCAGCCTCCTAGGCCTTGGCATTTGCTCTGGAAACGGAGAGGACTGACTTTAACTTCCCAGACTCAGCGTTTGGGAGAGGTGGGCTCCGTCCCTGTGCTGAGAGATGCTGGGCTCACCAGGTTTCACAGCGGCTCTGCGTACCCAGCAGGCCTCAGGGTTACCCGGCAACAGGTGCCGGCTGCCTTTTGGGGCCACTCTGCCCAGCTGCGGTGGCCTGGCTTTCGGGAGGGCGGGAGCGGGCATGCGACGCTGTGCACCGGCTCAGCCTCCCAGCCGCGCGATCACCGCTCCAGCCTGCGGCCCCACCATCTGCTTCAGGGAGGCCTGGGCCGGGCCGTGGGGAGACATGTTCTGCATGGTGGCTTGCAATCGAGCCTAAAAACGACACTGGTGCTTTTGGAAGTCCAATGGCAAAAGACAAAAGTCCAAATGAATTCGGGGAAAATAGCACAATTTTTAGAATTATTTTGAGTGTGCAGGTAAATGGGGTATTTTAAAAACGAATCTCAGATTTAGTTAAGCACAGACATTTTGTTAAGTTTGGACCTAAAGGCTTGGATTCAGTCTCTGGACAAGCATTGTTTGGCCTGGTCTGTTTAAAAACCTTTGAGCCAACGTTTATTAATTAGAGGGGTGTTTACATAAAAGTGAAAGGCACCGGGCCGGCAGGCCAGCCTGAGAACTTGCCTGGGACCCAGCGGCTGCCTCTGTCCGGCGGTCACAGCTTTGCTTTAGCTGCCCTGCGAAAGCTGGCCCTGCAGCTGAGGCATTTGTCACCCTGGCTTAAATGGCTCAGCGTTTGACCTTTGTTTGCATAGTCTTTGTGCAGCAGAAGGAAAACTTGGAAAGGGGTAAAATGAGAACCTGGGGATAATGGTTGCTGCCCAGCCTGGGGAAACTCAGGTACTTTTTAGCTTTTCTCCTTTGTGGCCGCACCTTTTAAGGTTCACGGAGCTTCAAGAACATGACAGAGCGCAGGTGCGATTCACCCGAGCCTGTGGGGACTCACACACGGCGCTGGTGCCTGCTGGCCGGTGTCCACAGCCCGGAGGCTGTGTGCTTGGCAGTTAGCTGAGCCTTCCAGACTGGCCAGATGTTGTATGATTCTGTATCTGCCGATGCCCATGGAGAGCCCCACTTGTGCCATGTTGAGGAGGCTGTGATCTGAAACCATAACACAGGCCTCTTGGAGCCCCTCACCTCCTGCCAGGGCAGAGTGGGCCACAGATGTCTACGGTGTGCTCTGGGGACACCGTGGGAGCGTCTCTCTGTGGCCGTGTCCCTCCATGTCCCTGCAGTCCCAGAACCAAGGGACAAGTTCTGAAGCAGAGGTGAGCTGTGCATCTTGGCAGCTGCTCCAACAGCAACACTAAGACAGCTGTTCTCCATCCCGAGAATGACACGGAAGCCACATTTCCCTTTCCTTTTAGTCCAGGGGCCACCTCTCCGGAATCCCAGGTAGGCAGGTGTTGCGTCCGCCTGGCCCACATCTGTCTGCCTGGCACCGTGCGCACACTGTTCCCCATCCTCTTGTCCCAGACTTGGCTCTGCAGCCTGTTCCATGGGGTAAAATCCAGGACTGTGCCCTGGCTGGGTGGCTCAGTAGGTTGGAGTGTCGTCCTGTACACTGTAAAGTTGTGGGTTTGATCCCAGTTAGGGTGTGTACAGGAGGCAACTGATCGATATTTCTCTCTCACATTGATGTCTCTCTCTCCCCCCTCCCCTCTCTAAAATCAGTAAACATATCCTCAGGTGGGGATAAAAAAAAAAAATCCAGCCCTGTCACGTGTCCGCCACACTCGGGCCAGGCCTGCATCCTGTCCTGTTTCCTGCCCTGGGACCTCTGCCCTGTCCCTCAGGGTTTCATGTTTTTTTGTTTTTTTTATTTATTTTTATTTTTATTATTATATTTTTATCTTCACCCAAGAGTATTTTTTTCCATTGCTTTTCAGAGAGACAGAGAGAGAGAGAGAGAGAGAGAAATATCAATGTAGGAAGACACATTGATTGGTTGCCTCCCACGCTCGCCCCGACTAGGGTCAGGGATAAGGTATGTGCCCAAGGTGTGTGCCTTGACCGAGGTACGTGTGCTTGACTGGAATTGAACCCGAGACCCTTCAGTCCTCAGGCTGATGCTCTAACCACTGAGCCAAACCAGGCAGGGAGAGTTTCATGTGTTCCAAATGGAGGCCAAGTCTCCCTCGTAACTGACTGCTTGCGAGTGCTCCACCGTGTTAATCCACAGCCCGCACATCTGAGACACAGGCGTCTCTAAGGAAAGGCTGTTTTGATTTTGGTCATAGGAGAGAGTTTTCACTAATTCTGTCTCAAACTCCTCACGTACCATCGAACTCCTCGACTCCTGTAATCTGGCTTTGTTCCCACCATCCCCCCAAATTAGCTGCCCCCAGGACTTTTCTAGTAGCTTCCTGGTGGGAAAACCAGTGGCAGTTTTCCTGCAGCCCCTAAGCTGACAAGGAATCTCTTGGCTTCTAGAGCTCTCACTCGAGCCCTCTCTGCGTGGTGACTGGCTCCCAGCTCCCTCTGCAGGGAGACAGTCCCTTGTCCCGTCTACCTACCCGGCTCCTTAACTGTCAGTGCAGGTGCTTCCTTCACCTGCAGCCTGGTCCTGCTCTGCTTTCCACTTGTTTTTGCCCAGGCTTCTAGTTTCCAGGAGCAGGACCCCACAAACTAGCATAGGCAGAAAAGCTGACTGAGCCCAATACCGTGCGGGGAGCTCCAGGCTCCAGGGGCAAAAGCTGCACTGGGCTTCCCTGGGGCAGGGGCTACGGAGGGAGAGTCGAGAGGAAGCTGAGATGTCTGATTCCATCCCATTCTCCCTCCTTCTCTCCCATGACGTGAGCCTTACCTGCTCCTCCAGGCTCGCCAGAGCAGC